ACCTCTGTAAACCTGGGGATCGATGTTTGGATCCTGCGCCCGAGCCTTAAGCACACCTCCTCCCAGTTGCGACCAAAGTCTCCTGCCTGCTCCTGCCCCAACTCCACCTCCTCGCTCCATCTGGGTGCTTGGCCCAGCCTGCCTCTGCCCCTGCCCACTGATCTTGGCCGTCTGGCACCCTCTCTCCTCCCATCCCTGGGGGAGCTGGCATGAGCCCAGCGTAGCTGATGTTGTAATGTCCCTGGCAGTACCGGTGGAGAAGAGCTGCCCGGCCTGTTCCCAATCAGTTAACCTAGGCCCTCCACCCGCCAGGGGAACTTGACTCGGGCAGCGCTGGAAGGAGAGGTGATGGTGGATCTGGAGAGACCAATGAGAAGGAGTGGTGGGGCTATTCACAGTCCTTGGAGGCTGACCCAGTTATGGGACATTAGGGGACTGAACCCTGCTCATAGGAGTGTGGGCTTTTCCTCTTGAAGGAAGATTGGGATGAGTGCCCCTGTGTACATAGTTAATGACGTAGGGAGGGGGACTCCTTTCCAGTCTATTGGTTCATTCAGGGTACAAGCAGATGGTTGGCAATGATCACCAAGCTACCAGAATGTTGGGAGTAACAGGCCAGGATGACTGAGCATGGGAAAGGCAGAATCCTCCTCTGGGACAGTAACTCACCCATCTCCTTAGCATCTCTTGGCCCTGACCTTTAAGACTTCAACTCACTCTCCCACTCCCTGAAGGCAGAAGAAGTATCATAACATCTGAGGGTACTAGAAGCCTTAGCTCCCCTTTCTCTACTCAGTGTTCACCAAGGTGCTTTTGCAGAAGCATCTTCTCCGAGAGCAGTTCAGTCAGGCTAAGGGCAGAGCAGGGCCCACAGCAAGGGACAGCAGTTCATCAGACCCCTGCAGCACACATTCCCCAGCTCATTGCTGCTACCCACCCTAGCTCATACACATTCCCCTATGTGCTCTTTCGGAGTCCAGGTACTGCTCCTGATTGACCTGGTTGTCCTGGCTTTCTCCCACCACCTTTCCTGGACTCCTTACATGTTTGCCACCTGCCCCAGAACCCTCCCTTAGACACTTTCCCAGAGTCATTCTTCTCCAGCTGATGAACAGAGTGACTTGTTCTTGATGGCTGTCTGGCTAGACCCAGACATTGTATGCATCTTAAAAGCCTCTCCTGGCTGCACAGCCTGGGAGTGGGAGGCACATGTTCCTGAGCAGACATGCTCTAGGGGACATTCTCAGAGGCTAAAGACCTCAAGGGACACAGGGATGTTCTCAGCAAGCTAATCAAATTGGCTTCATCTAGCTTCGGCAGCAGGAGACCAAGAGCCAGAGGATGGCCGCCTCCTCCCTGTCTGTCCTGGAGGCTGCCTTGAAGCCTGATGAGATTCTTTTCAAGGCAGAAGGCCAGAGCACGGACAGACCTCACCAGAGGATCTCCAGGGTGCAGATTAAAGGGTAGAGACTGCAGCAGTAAGCCGAGCAAGGATTATATTGGAATTTCCTGGGCGTTTAACAGCTGCAGAACAGGACAGAGGACCAGACTATGGTGCTGACCCCTCCCACACTGACCCTGCAGCTAACAGGTGTGAGAACCAGCTCAGCAACCACAACAGACCTAAAACCACTGGCCCCTTGCTTTGGAGACACTCCCTATCCCTGTTGGTCACTTCACACACTCTTTCTGTCCAGTCTTGCTTTGCCACCAGTGAGGCTCCTCCAGACATGTTCCAAGTATCTGGTGCCTTCTGTTTCCCTCTTTCCCCTTGTAGACAGTCCTTAGCTCAGCATCATGACAGAGAAACATAGTGACAACTTGAAGTTGTTGGAGAGAGGCTTAAAGAACATCCAAGGATAAAAGATATTCTATCTTTTGTTGTTGATGGTCTTTTGCTCCTTCATCCTCAACCTCTGCTGTCTCTTCATCTTTCTTGTTTTAGAGTTTAAAATTCCTAGATATTTTAAAAACCAAAGGTGAAAAGGGGGAAGAGATTACATATATAAACATATGTTCTGTTTGTCTAGATTTTAGCGATATCTCTTCAAATCCTTTCTTTGCTTAGATTTTTAACTATTAAAATAAAGTATGCTTATTATAATAAAAACTAAACAATTGAGGCATGTGTAAGACAAAGTTAATTATCCCACCTCTCATCCTCTGTCTCATGCATCCTCCTACGGTAACCAATTTTAATGATCCAATATATCTCTGTCATGCCTTTCTGTGAGCTGCTTTGGATTAGATTATTTAATTTTTTTAAAATTTAGGTTGAGGTGCATAAACTCTACTGAATAAGCTGGATTTGTTCATGAAATTATCATCTTTAGCATTTAATTTAAGCACAGTTAATTTTTAAAGCTCTTACAAATTTGCTGATTTAATTTACTTTTAAATTGTTCATTTCCATAGAGAACAGAATTCATAAGCTGCCCTTTATAAGCTAAAATGTTGCAAATCTCTAGATTTTTTTCCAGTTGCTAAAACCAAACACAACCTCAATACCTAAGACCTTGCTTTATTTTTTTAAAGCAAGCAAATGTACCAGGCTTATGGTCTAGTGTCTGCCTTGCATCAGAAGGATGGACAGTGATAAAAGGAGAGGCGGAAAAGAAAATAAAGAATCAAAGAATGTGATTTTTATCACATGAACTGCCTTTTCAGTCTTTTGGGGAGCTATCATTTACAGCCACATTTCTGCTGCTTCCAAGTGTTTTATATTTGTAAAACTTATGCACATCTGAAGTATGAATGTTTCCCTGATTAAGACCAGTTTGCAGCACTTTCTCGAGTTCCAGCCTCTTAAACTGTGGGCAGTTCCTTTCTTGAACTGCAGAGGGATCTCAAGAAGGCTTGGAGGCCTCTTCCCGTTTGTGGCCACAGGATGCTTGGTTCTGCCCAAGATGAATTCCTGGACCAAATGTATGAGGTAGGCCCCGTCTACAAGCAGCAAAGCCGCCTTTGAAAGTTTTCCTGTTTACTATTCCAGACATGAGGAATACCCGTGTCTTTCACTTGTTTTTTCTACCTTTGAAACTTGCTTCAGAAGACTCTGTGGTACTTTGAAATCCTTGACAGCAGTTATTCCATATCTTAATGTTTCCTCTTTCCTTATTTTTATTCTGGACACAGAGATACACTGTGATTCTTTTAATATATAAATAAGAGGCTTGGCTTGCTGGATTAGCAAGAACTGCTCTAACTTCCTACTCTGACTCAGCAGCATTTTAAAAAAAATTTCTGAAGACACTTGTTTTTTAATCTTTAATAGTCTAGGTCTGAATCTGAAAAAAACTTCACATCAAACATCAAAATACACATCTGGACATTTTACAATCTTTAACCATTTCTTTTTAATGAATGTCTTTGTACTTAGTAAAATTTCAAAAAACATTACTCAAGTAGCAATATACATGTGGTATCTCTATTTTAGTCTTTCAGACTCTTGTTGACAAGCTGGGTGACTTTAAAATATTTCATAATTGCATTTGTTCTTTTCTGGATCTTGTGGGGAGAGGCCAGCTTCATGTTGTCACTAAGATGCATGCTGTGACTATCCTGGCACACCTATAGCAGCCCTAAGCTCCTGGGTATTGCAAGCTATCAAAGCAAACATCTCACCATTCTTCATCTTCTAGAATTTCCGTATTATACAGTTGATGTTATCTGTAGTAAGTTTATTCTGTCTTGCTTTTGTCTTTCAAAAAAATCTCCTAAAATGTTACCAAAATATTTATTGCTGTCTAGTTATAAGCTTGAGAAGGCATGGAGCTTGCTATTTCTTCGTTGTTCAGATTATAGCGCCCACTTGTGTTCTGCCTGACAGAGACTATTTTGAAGAATATCTTCTAGGCATATAGTAAAATAACCTCCATTGTTTAAAGGCTTGCCTCTGGCATTTTCTGTTCTTGATAACAGTGTTCCTAAAGACCGTGGCTCTGGACAGACCCTGATTTGTTTTGATGTGTCAGAGATACTTCCATATTAGGACACTGAGATTTGGGGTTGGGGGGTTACACCTCCAACATACATTGCTTCAGGATGTTTGTGAAACAGCTATTGATGCTAGAGGCAGCATTACAGAAGTTAATAGAGTTATGCAAGCTCTTCATCTCCTCTAGAGCCTTTACTTAATCTGACCCTAGCAGCACTCAGAACAGTATTCTCAGAGAATTTTTGCCTCTGGGAAACTGTTTTCCATGTGGAACTGCTTCTTACTTGACTCTCTCTACAAGCTGTGGATTGATCTATTCACATAAGGCATTAGTGGTATTAGAGGTAAAATTCAGTGGGTAGTTGGTCACTACTCATCAGCACCCAGGTATATAGAAAAGGTATCCCTCTAAAATAGCTTTATAGAGGTGACACTAAATGCTTCATCTTATGACGCACACAGCATCTTTACCAAAAAAAAAGTAGATAATCAAAAGTTAAATTATAACGTTTCTGTCGATAACAGCTAAGATGTAGTTTCAGTTTAATTTCAGCTCCATTGAAAACTGTGTCACTCTCTATCACAGGATGACCAGGCCACACACATCCAGGTTGTGGCGCCCTTCCAGTTGACTTTGGAGTTTGTTTGTTCTTTGTCCCTCCTCTAAGATTTCTCATTTTAGTATGGTGGGCAACATGCCTCTCATTTTTGTTTTCAACAGAAAGAAATGATTCCTGCTACTCTTGTTCATGTACCACATGGTCTTGTAAGACCCAATCACAGAGAAAGAGCATACCCATGGTGGTGGAGCTGGTCTTCCTTGTGGCCCTATATGCAGAAGTACCTTTGCTTGTTGGCTTGTAGGTATAGAACTGTACCTACTAATGGCTGAGGAGCCTTTCCATAGGAGATGGATATGAGGTAGACCCTAGCAATCACTTGGAGAGCAGAAGCATTACTTTCATTCATTTTACTGAACAGTTATTAGCTACAGTTTTAAAATGAAATTTTAACTCATGTTTTAGTTGAAAAGATATTATGAGTCATTAAGTCTAAAAATTAAGGAGAACATAATGAAAATATTTCCTCACAACCCTTCTTTTCTTTTCTTTTCAAATTCAGGTATTCCTCCATAATGATCCTTCCATGGGCATATGTGTATGTTTGGTTTTTGTAATACTATGAATTGAACCCAGGGCCTCACACATGTTAAGCAAACACTCTGCCCTGAGAACATTAAATCCCCAGCCCAATATTTATTCATTTTGTTGTTGTTCTTGTTAGTCTTTTCGAGACAGAGTCTCCCTGTAGCCCCAGCTGGACTGGAACTCTCTATGTAGATCAGGCTGGCCTTAAACTCACAGAGATCTGCCTGCCTCTGCCTCCAGAGTGCTGGGATTAAAGATGTGCAACATCACGCCTGGCTCCAATATTTATTCTTAAGTGAACAAGTGGGAGCTTACTTTACACCACTCTGATCTTACTCCTTTCACTTGGAAATCCTTTTCATATCAGTACATAAACAGTTTGTATTTGTTGCTTAGGCTGTGGCATAATCTCTTAACCATCTTCCTACTGATAGGCGGTTACTTTACAGTTTTTTTTTTTCCCTTACAAACAATTCATGTTGGCTGTGGATACAGCTCAGTGACAGAGCTGGGTCCAATTCCCAACACTGCCAAAAATTTTTTTTTAATGTATGGATATCCTTGCTCTAACAAGTATCATACAAGTTCCTGGTACTCAAAGGACTTCGTAGAAGTGATGCTACTAGCAGATATTGCCAAATTACTCTCCATACACCAGTATGCCAATATGAAATCACTAGAGCAATGTTTAGAAAAGACTTTATTACACATTGTCCAGCACTGTGTGTTATCAATCTCATAGGTAAAAATGATCTTATTCATTTCAGGCCACAATAACAAAGTTCTATCAATTGGGAAGCAGCAATTTATAAGCAAGAGAGAATTGTTTCTCATCATCCTGGAGACTGGTCAGAAATCAGGGTGCCAACATGACTGGGTTCTCATGAGGACCCTCTTTCTAATTGCTGACTATCTATTTTGCATTGTACTCTCACAATGTTGAAAGAAGGCTAGAGAGCCCTTTGAGATCTCTTACAAGAATATTAATCCCATTCATGTAAATCTTCAAGATGTAATTACCTCCCAAAGGCCCCACCTCTAAAAACCATCACACTGGGGGGTTAAGATTACAACATATGTATTCATGGCAAAGGCACAAACATCTACTCTGTAACAAATCACATGCCACTGTTGTTTCAACATGCCTTTCCTTCAAATATGAGCAAGCAAGAAGCATCTTTTCATATGCTTAATCCATCCGCTTAGTTTCCTGTAAGCCACAGGGAAAAACATGTCCCTTCGGGAATTAGAACCTTTGTTGGAGATATGTGCCAGACCTACATAGCTTTATCCTCTCCTTACACCGCCTCATCTATCTTTAGAATCTTTATGCGTGTCCCTTCACTTCACTGCCTCTGCAAAATGTCCAGAGCATTCGGGGAAGTAGTATTACTGGAGCGTAGTGAGAATCTGGTGCCCAGAAGAACAGAAAATCTTACCTACCTGGTTTTAATGAGAATAACCTTCTAACTTCCCTACAGCCCTACGGAGTGGCCACTGGGGAAGGAGAAGGAATAGATGAAGAGAACAAATTGGAATAGCGCCTTCCAGACAGAAAAGGTAACACTGGGTCAGCACTCTGGGTACCCCAACAAGAAGGAGGGCCTTGAGACACAGTCACATGGGAACAAAAGTGAGAGAATTGGCATGCATCCCTTCAAGAAAATGGGATTTGCACAAGAGACTTGAGAGCCAATTGGCCTTTACTGGCCATGGTTGGTTCAGAGGCTATTTGAGACCTGTAGAAGAGGCACTGTGTGAGCTTGGCATGCATCCCTTCAAGAAAATGGGATTTGCACAAGACACTTGAGAGCCAATTGGCCTTTACTGGCTTCTGCCCATGGTTGGTTCAGAGGCTATTTGAGACCTGTAGAAGAGGCACTGTGTGAGGTTTGGGCATCTCTACAGTTTATGAAAATGTAATTTCCTTCTCACCCTCTGTGTATCCCTAGGAAGCAAGCTTGGCTGCAGACCCCAAGTCTTACAAACGTCACAGCCCCGCCTCAGAGCAGGGTGTTGGCTGGGGCAATGGTGGAAGCACAGAGGATGCCCCATGGCTACTGAGGGCACTGCCCAATCAGGGAGCAGATTGGCAGGCATGGTGTGCAGCCTATGGGTCCTGGTTCTGGGGCCCTCAGTTCTGGCTTTGGAAGGTAAGGGGGTGGGGTAAGAGAGTCCCACCAGCCAATAGAGACCAGTGTAGATGGGAAATTGGAGAAACTCAGAGAGGGCAGAGAAGAGTGGAGACAAGGAGGGGACAATGTGGGGAGGGTGACCAGGACTCCATCGTACCAACTATTTCAGAGACAGAATCCTGACAGATAGCTTCTACTGGCAACTCAGATGAACCTGGGAGGGTCTGTCTTCAGTTCTCTATGGGAATGAAGTGGGGCAACAGGGCCAGCTTGGCACACTGTGCATGTTTATCTCTGAACAGAGGTGCTGCTGGACACCACAGGAGAGACCTCTGAGATTGGGTGGCTCACCTACCCACCAGGTGGGGTGAGTGTCTCCCTTCTGAACCCATTCTGTGAACTGCCGGGAAGAAACCCAGGATAAAGTGTGAGATAAGACTCCCTCCATGAGGGGGACCAGAATTTCAAGCTATCTTCTTCCTCTTTTGCCCATCATTAATGTTGTCTCACTAGAATAGATAGACCCCCTGCATTTGCCCGGCTCCCACTTCCCTCCCCAAGCTCTGAGCAGCTGCTTCTCCTGGTCCCCTTGCAGTGGGACGAGGTGAGCGTTCTAGATGATCAGCGCCGTCTGACTCGGACCTTTGAAGCATGCCACGTGGCAGGGGTCCCTCCAGGTGCTGGACAGGACAATTGGCTGCAGACACACTTTGTGGAGCGGCGAGGAGCCCAGCGGGCACACATCCGCCTCCACTTCTCTGTGCGAGCTTGTTCCAGCCTGGGTGTGAGCGGGGGCACCTGCCGGGAGACCTTCACCCTTTACTACCGGCAGGCTGATGAGCCCGACAGCCCTGACAGCATTTCCGCCTGGCACCTCAAACGCTGGACCAAAGTGGACACAATTGCAGCGGATGAGAGCTTCCCAGCCTCCTCCTCCTCTTCCTCATGGGCTGTGGGACCCCACAGGACTGGTCAGCGGGTGGGGCTGCAGCTGAACGTGAAGGAGCGCAGCTTTGGTCCTCTGACTCAGCGTGGCTTCTACGTGGCCTTCCAGGACACAGGGGCCTGCCTGGCTCTGGTAGCGGTCAAGCTCTTCTCCTATACCTGCCCCTCTGTCCTGCGTGCCTTTGCCTCCTTTCCTGAGACGCAGGCCAGTGGAGCTGGGGGGGCCTCCTTGGTGGCAGCTGTGGGTACCTGTGTAGCTCATGCAGAGCCAGAGGAGGATGGAGTTGGAGGCCAGGCAGGAGGAAGCCCCCCAAGATTACACTGCAATGGGGAAGGAAGGTGGATGGTAGCTGTCGGAGGCTGCCGCTGCCAGCCTGGACACCAACCTGTGCGTGGAGACAAGGTCTGCCAAGGTGAGAGCCATTCACCCATGCCCCTGGCCTTTGATTTCTCTCCTGAACATGTCCAATGTAGCTTTGTCCAACATAGATCTCAAATAGAGGCTGGAAAGGTGGTTCAAAGGTAAAGAGAACTGACTGCTCTTCTAGAGGACCTGGGTTTGGTTTCCAGCACCCACATGGCAGCTAATAACTGTCCCCTAACTCCAGTTCCAGGTCATCGGATGCCCTCTTCTGGCCTCCACAGGCATTTCATGTCATGGGTGCACTTACGTATGAGCAGGCAAAACATTTCTGCCCCCATCTGCCATCTAGCTGGGGAGGGTTCATTGCTGAGCTGGTGGGTGAGGCAGGTAGAAGGTGTCAGTGGATAGGCTATGAAAAAATGACTACAGAGAGAGGTTATGCACCCAAGCCTGGAACACCTACATCTGGGGTTTGCCCTGCCTGAAGCCCCAGCACCCCTAAGTGTTCCACAAATCTATGTACCAAGAAAAAGGAGGTGGGGGTTAAACCAGTTCTGGGGAATTACGACTGGAAGCTGAGGGTGGATAGATGAAGTGTGATGACATTCTCCCCTCTGTCTCCTCAGCCTGTCCTGAGGGGTCCTATAAGGCCCTGGCTGGAAATACCCCTTGCTCATCATGCCCAGCCCGCAGCCACTCCCCTGATCCTGCAGCCCCAGTTTGCCCCTGTCTCCAGGGCTTCTACAGGGCTAGTTCTGACCCTCCAGAGGCTCCCTGCACTGGTGAGTCCCCTTTCAGCCCAACACAGAAAAGATCCTGGGAGTAGGGTGGGAACTGGGGAGCCTGATGCAATGGCTGCTGGGTGAGGGGGCTTTGCAGTGCACTTGGACTGACTTATTGTCTCTTGTTTCCTTGGTGTCCCACCCCCTCTCCCCACCCTCCTCTGCTTTCTGGTCCGCCTTCGTGCCCTTCGGGATGCACCTTTTGGCCTCCTTCCTTCCTTAATCTCCTCCACCCCACACCTACCCCATATCCAGGTCCTCCATCGGCTCCCCGGGAGCTTTGGTTTGAAGTACAGGGCTCAGCACTCATGCTGCACTGGCGCCTGCCTCATGAGCTGGGTGGTCGAGGGGACCTGCTCTTCAATGTTGTATGCAAGGAGTGTGGGGGCCACCGGGAGCCCAGCAGCGGGGCCATGTGTCGTCGCTGCAGGGATGAGGTGCATTTCGATCCCCGCCAGAGGGGCCTGACCGAGAGTCGAGTGTTAGTTGGGGGGCTCCGAGCACATGTACCATACATCTTGGAGGTGCAGGCTGTCAATGGGGTGTCTGAGCTCAGCCCTGACCCTCCCCAGGCAGCAGCCATCAATGTCAGCACTAGCCATGAAGGTAAGCCCTTTCCTCCTCCTTAGGGACACGGTGCCTCACCTCGGGGCCCCCCTTCCCCGTGCCTCCCCTCCTCCCAGCCTGCATTAGATTCCACATTCTGAACTCCAGCCCCTCCAGCCCTGGATGCTCCTGCTCCTAAAAACTCCAATCCCCCATAATAACTACTCCATCCTGCAATTTAGTCCCCTCTGCAGTCCCTGTGGTTCACCAGGTGAGCCGGGCAGCAAACAGCATCACAGTGTCCTGGCCACAGCCTGACCAGACGAATGGCAACATCCTTGACTATCAACTCCGCTACTATGACCAGGTGGGCAGGAGGTCTGAGGTGCCACGGCAGGGCCAGTGAGAGCACTCAGCCCCCATGACTCCACAAGGGCATGACTGTTGAGTTAGGCAAGAGGAGCTGTGAAGGGCCTGAGGAACTAGGGATATACTGAGGAGGATTGTGAGGTCTTTGGAGATAAAAGCAGGGACAAGAGATCAGTCTGGACAGCTAGTGAGTGATTGTTGTTCCTAGGCAGAAGACGAATCCCACTCCTTCACCATGACCAGCGAGACCAACACTGCCACTGTGACACGGTTAAGCCCTGGCCACATCTATGGTTTCCAGGTGCGGGCACGGACTGCAGCCGGCCACGGTCCCTATGGGGGAAAAGTCTATTTCCAGACACTGCCCCAAGGTGAGGAGATACCTAGATGGGTACAAGGAGGCCAAGGGCAGAGTGACGAAAGGCCCAGGACTGTCCAAACCACAGTCCTTGACCCATCATCATCTGGACCAGAGGCTCTGGAGAAGGAGGCTATGGGTGACCCCTGACCTTAGGGACTGTATGAGGAGAGTAGGGGTAATGAGTGAAGATGAGAGGGGTTGCAGATATGAATGCATGTCGTGTGGAAATGTGTGTCAGACTGTGATAATTGTTGCGTTTGGAGGGTTGAAAGTATGAACAGGCATGTGGGTGTGTATGTGAGGTGTGTGCATGTGGGTGTGTATGTGAGGTGTGTGCATGTGGGTGTGTATGTGAGGTGTGTGCATGTGGTGCTTTGGCTGTCTCGGGCTGTCAGGTGCATGCGAACACTTGCATAAGCAATCTGGCCCCCTGTGACTGTGGCACTGATCTGCCAGGTGAGCTCTCCTCCCAGCTTCCAGAGAAGCTATCCTTGGTGATTGGTTCCATCCTTGGGGCCTTGGCCTTTCTCCTGCTGGCAGCTATCACTGTACTGGCTGTCATCTTCCAGCGGTGAGGCCCCTGCCACTCCTACCCGACCTGCCCCAGCACCATTTGAGTCCCCGGGAGCCCTGGGAACCCCAGCACGTCCCATGCCTTTCTTCCACTAGCCCGTTACAGAGGTGGGAAGGAGGGACCTGGTAGAGTTCCCTCAGTCCTCATACCCATGGCTGGAAGCTGTCTGCCCGGTCAGGGTGGCCAAGGGCAGATGCAAATGGACAGAAGCAGGTGTCATTCTAGGCTATTGGTTTGTCCCCCAGGAAGCGGCGTGGGACTGGCTACACAGAGCAACTACAGCAATACAGTAGTCCAGGTCAGAAAGGAAAAAGGAAATGTGACTGGGGTTGGGGGCTTGTGGCTAGTCATACGCCTGGTAGTGTGGATGGGCTCTTCCATAGCAATTCCAAAAGTGGGAGGGAACATATAGAATGTTTGGGCCTCCAGACTTGCAGCACACTCTCATGTCACACTGTACTCTTCAGGTCTTGGGGTAAAGTATTACGTTGACCCTTCCACATACGAGGACCCCTGCCAGGCTATCCGAGAGCTTGCACGGGAGGTTGATCCTGTGTATATCAAGATCGAAGAAGTCATTGGTGCAGGTACTTCACAAGCAAGGCATGCCTGGGAGGCCTGGTCATCACTACGTACAGCCGGAAACGTCATGACCCCAGTCACACCTGTATCTGTTCTCCCAGGCTCTTTTGGAGAAGTGCGCAGGGGCCGACTGCAGCCCCGGGGAAGGCGGGAACAGGCTGTGGCTATCCAGGCCCTGTGGGCAGGAGGTGCAGAGAGCCTTCAGATGACCTTTCTGGGCCGGGCGGCACTGCTAGGCCAGTTCCAGCACCCCAATGTCCTGCGGCTGGAAGGCGTAGTCACCAAGAGCCGGCCCCTCATGGTGCTAACGGAGTTCATGGAGCTTGGTCCCCTGGACAGCTTCCTCAGGGTCAGTTCTGCTCTGGTGAAGGAGGAGGGGTGTCCTCGAGTGGAGGAAAGCTTGGGGCTCTTGCCGCTCCCAGAAGACTCTTGTGCTTTTGCTTCCTCCCATCCCATCTTCCACTGATCTTCATTCTTCCTTCCCAGGCCATTTTCTGATGCCAAATGTGCCCCCTGCCTCTCTCCCCCCAACTACCCTCTTATGCCAGTGTCTACTGTGCAGTGTGTGTACCCCGTTGCTGATCTCTGTCCTCTGCCCCTCAGCAGCGAGAAGGCCAGTTCAGCAGCCTGCAGCTGGTGGCCATGCAGCGGGGAGTGGCAGCCGCCATGCAGTACCTGTCCAGCTTTGCCTTTGTGCACCGTGCACTCTCTGCCCGAAGCGTGCTGGTGAATAGTCACCTGGTGTGCAAGGTGGCCCGTCTTGGCCATAGCCCTCAGGTGAGTACAGGGTCTTAGAGACTCAGTGTCCCCCAGCAGGTGAGAGAGAGCTGGACTCTTGGGTAGGTGTGTTGGTAGCATATCACAGTGCCTAGGTGTTAAAGGTTCAGTCATGTGGTGACGAGAGGGAAGCCTGTGCCAAGGGCAGTTGAGGGACTTCAGAAACCAAGACAAAGAAGGAGCTCAGAAGGACAGGAGACCTGTAAAACTTTAATACCAGGCCCTGCTTTCTCTCAATACAAAGGTTACACGGGCTGTGGTCAGCACAGGGACGGTCAAACCCTGAATGCTCAGTCTCGAGCCCCATGACCTTGTACAGTTCATATTCTCTAGGCCTTGGCTTCAGAATCTTGATATTATTCACCCTTCAGGATGGTTAAGGGGAAGATTAAATGAGATGTGGGATGTGAAACCCTTAATGCATCTGAGCATAATATTTGCCTAGTGAGTGTGACTTGTGCTGGTTATTATTACTTCTGATGATCCCCCTCAGGGTTCAAGTTGCTTGCTCCGCTGGGCAGCCCCAGAAGTCATTGCACATGGGAAGCATACAACATCCAGCGATGTTTGGAGCTTTGGAATACTTATGTGGGAAGTGATGAGCTATGGAGAACGGCCCTACTGGGACATGAGCGAGCAGGAGGTGAACTTGACCTAGACGTTTGCTGGCTGGGATCCCTCCCAGGCTTTCATATTCTAAGCCCACCCTATGCTGAGCTGTTCATGTTGTAAGCTGCAGTATTCCATTTCTTTTAGTTCTTTTCTCACCCCTTCCTCAGGCTGCTCTGGATTTCAGCCTACCCGCCCCCTTTCCTAAGGCTTCTACTGTCAATACTTCTCATCATATTTCTCCTGACCCGTAGGTACTAAATGCGATAGAGCAAGAGTTCCGGCTGCCCCCACCTCCAGGCTGTCCTCCTGGGCTACATCTGCTGATGCTGGACACTTGGCAGAAGGACCGTGCCAGGCGGCCTCACTTTGACCAGCTGGTGGCTGCGTTTGACAAGATGATCCGCAAACCAGACACCCTACAGGCTGAAGGGGGCCCTGGGGACAGGTCTGGAGCTTGGGGCTGGAGCCTGGGAAAGCTAGGGAGGGTGGATGTAAACCAAACAGAAAACTGAGCATAGAGAGCCTAAGACAAAGAGAAAATCTGACCTGCTTGCCCTCCCCACCTTAGGCCTTCCCAGGCCCTTCTGAACCCTGTGGCCTTGGACTTTCCTTGCCTGGACTCTCCCCAGACCTGGCTTTCAGCCATTGGACTGGAGTGCTACCAGGATAACTTCTCCAAGTTTGGCCTCTCCACCTTCAATGATGTAGTTCAGCTCAGCCTGGAGTAAGCAGGGCGAGGTGGGAGGGAAGACACTCTGGGACCCAGGCAAGGGGGTACATCTGGGATCTTGAAGAAGATGGCCCAAGTCTGATCCACTCCCTCCCCACCAGAGATCTGCCGGCCCTGGGTATCACCTTGGCAGGCCACCAGAAGAAGCTACTGCACAACATCCAGCTTCTCCAGCAGCACCTGAGGCAGCCGGGCTCAGTGGAGGTGTGAGTGAGGCCTGGGCAGAAATCTGTGAGCCACCAAAGCCCCAACCCAGCCCGGACACAGGGCAGATGAGGGTCTCCTGAGACTGATCCAGGCTCTATCCTCGCCTCCATGCTTGCCACACTAAACCCAGCCCTCTGGACACTGCATCCCTGAATCCTGCCCCTTCCAACAGCCTCCCCCATATTAAAGGGAAAGAAGGGGAACTTACAAGTTTGGGTGTGTCTAGGCCTCAGTCTACCAGGGGGGGTTAGGGAGGCTTTGGAAGAGGGGCAGAGCTTCGTGACAGGGTGGGCCACTGACCATGCATTGATGCATAAAATGTTACTGGGCGGGGATCAGGAAATGACTTTATTGGAAGGTGGAAGGTGGTTAGACCCAGTCCAGCTTCCCCACCCCACCTACGGCTATCTCTCTGACTCCATCGCACACCTTTCCACAAGCTCAGTGTTTCCCCATCAGTCCCATATGAAGCACCCTGGGAAGAGCTCTGTCCCCTCCCACTTACAAGCCCTGGGTGGAGGTGGTGCTGTGAGATGGCAAGCCTGTACGTAAAGTGCTCTGGCGTGCAGTGGAGCTTCCATAAGAGAGCGAGGAATGTTTGCTTGAGGCAAGGGTTCTTCCTCATTGCTCCCAAGCTGAAGAGATGCGGCAACCTGGAGCATTTTCCCAGTTCATTCCTTGGCATGCTACTCTTCATCCCCCTTGGACCTGGGGGTGAGACCTCTAGGTCTTTGCTACTTTTTGTTGGTTTTCTTTCATTTTCTTTTGATGCTTGGTGAGAGCCAACTTTCAGATCTGGTACTCCCAGCCCTCCCCATCTTCCAGGCCCCTGTTGATTATTCCCCGCAAGTCCCTTCTTAGAGTCCCTCGCCGAAGCCTTTCCCAGTTGGTGCTGCTGCGGGAGGTACTTCGAGACACTGAGGGTGTAGGAAAGGACAGATAGGCTTCAAAGGGGCGTGCTGTCTCTAGTTTTTCTCCTGAGTCTTTGTCAAAGTCCTCAGAGTAGGGATTGTCTGGTTGCTGGAAGGCCTGTGCATAGCGCTGGATTCGCTGCCTATTGAGATCCTGCCTATCTTCCACCCTGGAGAGACAGTGGGAATCAAAGAGCAAACCCCAGACCAACACTTGACTCCTATCCATCCCTTGTCATCAAGCCCCAGCCCTGGTGACGTATGCAGCCAGTGCAGGCACAGTAACACTAGCCCCTTGGAAGCCAGGCCTCAGGAGGCAGTAGGCTCTGGTCTCAGGATGCTTCGGAGCCCAATCTCCTAAGAGCCCCCTTCCTTCCTCAGTAACCACGCTTGGACAACGAGGAGGGTCTTAAGAAGCACACAGCCCTCCATAAGGGCCCCTGGAAGCAGGAGGGACACCACGCAAAGTGGTAGCTCAGGGAACACCCACTAGGGGGCACAGCACTTACCGCAGGAACCAACGATCCCCCAACCCATACTGGAGCCCACAGATCCCAGAGCGAGGCCACAGCCAGCGAGGCAGCTTCCGCTCCAGCATCACGGTGGTAGCTACAACCTACATTTAGGGACAGAAAGGGAAGTCAGAGAGGAGGCTGGAGAAGAAGGGCAGGGCGCGAGACAGAAGCGTAGCAATGACAAAGAAACTCAGAAGCTCATAGCTGGGAAGCAACACCCCAAACCAAGACGGTGATGTGATCTCCACAGAGCCCCTTCTGTGGGAGAGAGTGGATGGGGCTAGAGCCACACAGTTCTTTACCCTGTGACTTTAAAACTGTGGCAAAACCAGGGGTGGGGGGGTGCAGGTGGGGCACAGGTGGGATGTAGGAGGTTCTCATCAGAAGAAGAGACCTTGAGCAAGATCAAGTACAAAGGATTTTCATGGGCCTCAGAATATGTTGATACATACACATACATAAAATGATTTTTAAAAAATGTAAACATCCTACTTGTAAATCTAATATTAATGTATTTTCAAAATATTTCTCTAAGCAAACCCCATTTAGCCAGATTGGGTTTTACTTCATTTCCCACACATCATAGTTAAATGCTTTTCAGTGTTTTATATTTCCATTTTTTATTTTTCTGAAATTATTTTTGTTGACATAAATTCTTTTCCAAGTATATTTTTAAATGAGGATTTGATTCATCTGCTTGTCCTTTGTGCCCATCATAATGATCTTACTGAAGATAGCGCCTGCTACTAAAGAAAGGTTTTTATGGCATTATTTATAACACTCTCAGTTTTTTTCTGGGTCAAGTTTTGCAGAGTTAAATATTGTCAAGAAGACTAGATACCTCCATTCTTAGAAGCAAAACTTACCAAATACAGTTTTAGCTACTGTTAGCTTTATTTCTTATTGATTATTTTAGAAACATTTTTTTAAATTTTTTTTAAAAAATTATGTATATATGTGTAGGCCTGTGTGTAGGTATATGCACATGGATGCAGGTGCCTGTGGAGGCCAGAAGCATCAGATGCCTTATGAGCTGCCGTTGTAAGTGATTGAGCGCTGATGTGGATGCTGAAATTCGAACTCAGATCCTTTGCAAAACCATTATTCATTCTTAGCCAGGAGTGGTGGTGCACACCTGCAGTCCCAGCACTTGGGAGGCAGAGGTAGGCAGATCCTGTGAGTTCAAGGCCTGCCTGGTCTACATAGTGAGTTCCAGGCCAGCTGGGGTTTCAGGGTTACCCTGTCTCAAAAAGACCAAAAAAAAGCATTACACATTCTTCACCACTGACACATCTCTTGAGCCCTAAAGTTTCAGTTTTTGAGAAAACTATAAGAGATTCTTCCCAGAGAGTCAAGAATTGCTCTCATGTGTTGCTAATTCTTACATACATTTGGCACCATTTTGCGATAACTATCCAAATGTACATAGGGTGCAAATGCCCTGCTTTAATTGAGCATGCCGCTCCTGGGCAGACAGGGGACTCAACGCTAACCCATCCAGCCACCAGAGGGCTCACCTGGGCCCTCCAGAGCTCATCCTGCTCGTGGGCCACTCGCCAGTGGGTGTCACCCATCATGGCAATAAGGAGGTTGAGCATGAGCAGTGTGGCAATGATGGCAAAGGCAGCATAGGTGATGCTGTACATGAAGGGCAGATCCACGTCATAGTTGGCAGGACCATCGATGATGGTGAGGAAGAGCTCAAAGGTGCTGAACAGTGCCATGGGGTAATCATAGAAGTGGCCCAGCTCGTCAGGGTCCTCTGTCTGGAAGATGATATAGAAGGCTGCTCCACCCAAGGGGTGAGGGTTACCATGGCAACTGTATCATGATTAGCCCACCGCCAATTTTTCTTACCTGTTTCTATCCTACTCCCCTCATCTTTTATTACTGTCTCAACCCCCAAGCAATACATTTTGGGCTATTATGCACTCCTATTTGGGGCCATTATGCTCTCTGTGAGACTCATGCTCCTGATCTCCCGGCCCCGCCTCTGAGGAACATCCCATCCTTGGACACTGAGTGATCTGTTCTGACCTCTGCCTTTCCTCCTTTCTCCAAGTTCAATCAGAAGCATTCAGCACCCTCTAAGTTCCCTTAGGCCCTAGCTCCCATCATGGACTGTGATTTACCTGAAGCAAAACCCAGGATTACCACAGCCATCAGCCAGCAGAATCTCATCAAGTCACCAAAAATCATCTAGAAAAAGAAGGAGTCATTATACCCTCAGAGCAGTGGCCTTGCCTGACACCAGCAAGTCTAACTCCAAAAGCCTGCAAGCTAAATCTACTTCCCTTATCTTGGTGAAGTTCTTAAACAAAAGGTGATTTTTAATATTTTCAGAGTAATTTAAATTTGTTCAAAAGAAAAAAGAATATATAACAAAGACTTTGTAGCACTTACAAAGCCTGATATATTTACTATAAGCCCTCTAAATACCATTTGCTCACTCCTGGTCTGAGACATTTTTCTAGGAAACATCAGGGGGCACTGACCTTCTGAATCATGATGGTGAAGGGACCCAGCATTTGGAATCCTCTGGCAAAATACATGACATTGCACCAGCCCAACACCAGGGCAAAGGACATGGGCACCACCTCACCATTTGCATTGGTGAGCCGCATCACCATGGTCACCAGCACCATGAAGGCATAAGTGATACTGGGGGGAAAGGAGGAAGGAGATAATGAGGCAGATGCTAGGATCATCCTGGGGACCTAACAACAGGAGTGTAACTGGAACAGTCCCCACACATTCAGACTTAGGACCTAACAACAAGAGTGTAACCGGAACAGTCCCCACACATTCAGACTTAGGACCTAACAACAAGAGTGTAACCGGAACAGTCCCCACACATTCAGACTTAGCCTTCACGCACTCAGCACTTTGGGTCACAAACCTCACAGAGGAACTCTGAGAGTCAAGGCTCCTTGGAAGCCAGGAATCCAGGAAAAGGAATGGAAGCCCTAGTGCAATGAGGGATGGCAGAGAGATGAAGGAGACTCACATGATAACATGGAATGGGCCCCCAAGGATAGTCTGTCCAAAAAAGCGAGTGACCCCGAACCTGAGGATATCTGGAACCTGGAGAGAAGTCAGGGAGACACAAAGGCTTTTGTAGACCAAAACGCAGACTGGATCCCTGGGGCAGACAGCCTCACTCTGGATCCTACCCACACCTCACCTCTACCAGCAAGATGATCACAGCCCCAACGATGCTCACCAGCTCCCCTATCAGCCGGAGGTCATCCTTGGAGGTCACATAGGCCTCCTAGGGAGGAAACACGTTGGTCAACTGCCCATCTCTATCCTACATAGCCTGGTTCCCCAGGCTACAAGCTCTTTCAGAATCTTTCTAGCCCCTTAGGTACAGCTAGTCTCAAACTCTGCCACTAGAGTAAGAATATGTATGTGTTTCTGTGTGTGTGCATGTTGGCTCTGTGCCCACATACAGAGCTCTAGGTAAGAGGTAAAATGGCGCAGTGAGGTTAGAAAAGTGAGACCAAGTTGAGAAAAAAAACAGATTCCCTCCCTGCTTCCTGATCTGTTGCTCCCAGGGTGTCACCTGAAGGAGCTTCTGTTGCAGGAGGGTGTTGTCCCTGGGATTGGTGCGGTTAGTGATCCTGGGCTTCAGGGGGCGGTAGACGCAGCACATGGTAAAGCAGATGATGTACAGCAGGTAAATGGCACCCAGTATGCAGAAGTAGGGCCGCCCATACCGCTTCCACTTGAAGCTCACCAGCTCCTTCACAGGTGTCTGATCCAGGATCTGGCGAGCCTGCCACAGAAGGAATAGAACGGGCAGTTCCAAGACCCTGCAGGGCATCCCACAGCAGGGCCTGTGCTGCAAAGGCCCTGTACCTCCCGCTTCTTGGTGGTGACAATAAGTTCCAGCAGAGAGTGATCATCTCCTGAGGAGTCAATCTCCGTGAGGTCGTAAAGGGTGGAGGTCAGTGGCCCATATTTCCATTGAACATGCTTCCGCTTCTGCATGAGGTGTTGGAACATCTGAAAGAGAGTGGAGATGCTCGGGATCCACAACTAAAGGTGATGGCACAGTCTAGGGGGAAAGGATTGGAGAGGGTGGTGGCCTTCTCTTAGTGACCACAGTCTGTGGAGAGCAAAAGGGCTCATGTCACACAGGATCCTAGATTTGTGCTCCCCCATGACTCACTGTACAGCCTAGAGACATGAGGAGATTGGCAGGGCACTGTTCTGGGAAAGACAGGTGGGTTTGCACAGTGTAGACAAACCTAGCATGAGGTCTAGACTACACAAGTACTCTATCAGAGCAAACTGGCAAAAAGGGTCGGGGGACAGGGACAGGAAAGGTGTGGTTGAGACAGATCCCAAGTAGAGCTGAGAGTGGGACCTAGGTATCATGGATGTGTTCAGGTCTCTTTCCTCCCAGCAAGTCAGTGTGAGAAGCATTAGAAAGATACCTTAGAGCTGAGGCCTTACCACAATGTTGCCTTCCACTCCAGCCAACTTGAAGGGAGTGAGTCCCTGTTTGTTGGGAATAAGTTCCAGGGACTTCAGGTGGTCTCCTCTATCATAGGACAGCAGCAGGTTGTACATCTGGCAGGCAAAGGTTTTGTTGGGCTGCAGGATGAGGATGTGCAGGACTGTGTTTCCTGGGGAAGACAGAGGTTGCCACTTGGCCATAGGCCTAACATCCCTGATGGTCCCATTCCCTATCCAAGCCCCATTCCCTCCCTACCCCCCACCCAGAACACACATAACATCTAGCCCTCCTTCCTCATCCCAGCTCTTACCCAGGTAGTCCTGGGCCCGGATGTCAGCTCCATGCTCAATGAGCAGCTGTACAATCTCCTCACTGCCCACACAGGCAGCAAAGGACAAAGGGTGCTCCCCTGGAATACACGTAAGGAAACAATAAGATCACAGGATGAGGAGGGCTTTCTCTCTCAGCCCTTCTCCTCCCATATTTCATCTTGCTGCTTGGGATGAACGGACAGTGCAGAGGGTTATGGCTGGAATTGGCCTCTGGCTCTAAATCCCAGAAGGGCTGCCCGTCCCACTTTTCCAACAGGTAGAACGGAGTGCAGGGCCCTCTGTAGCCTCCTTTCCCACTGCCCCTTCCCCACTTTCCACCCCTCATCCTAGCCCTGGCTCTCACCATAGTAGATGAGGTTGTGGGGACTTCGGTGGAAGGCAGAGCCTGTAGCTCTGGCAGAGACACTGGCCCCTCGGGCAAGCAGGGCACGTACAAGGTTCACGTTCTGGTTTATTGCCGCAATGTGCAGTGCAGTCTGACCTGTCCCAGAGAGAGCTGTGAGTTACATGTCTGCTCCCAGGACCTTGAAAGCATCCCTCCCATGTACACCCATGGTCTCCTGTATGGTAGCCTGGGATGGAGGACAGAGATCCTGTGGCTGTTCAGGGTTCCCAGTAGATCCTGTTACCGCCCCCCCCCCTTCCCCAATCTTCTCCTTCTCCAGGCCTCTGCCAGGTTAGGGACCAGGTATAGTGACCTGCAGTCAGGAACAATTTCTGTAATAATAATAAAGATTAGAGATCTTCAGATACACTCTCTGGCTCCCAAGGTGTCTACTTGAGACTGCTAGAAATTTGCAGCAAATCGTCCATCCTGGGGCCTCACCTTCATATAACTCAGAAGTCATGGGCTCAAAGACTAGCTCCGGGGCAGCCTCCATCAGCACCATGGCAGCCTCCAGGTTGTCATAGAGGGCTGCTATGTGCAGTGCAGTGTCCCCCATGACTCCTAGTATTGAGAGACAGAGAGAAAAAAAAGCCATGTAAGTTACATGGTGTAATACAGTGGGGACAACACAGGCTTCAGGTACTGGGCTGTTCTGGAGAGGCCTATGAGGAGTGGGGCTGACCCAGAGACCATTTCTAGGATTCTGCTCCTTACCTCTCTGGTGCACCTCACATCCCTCAAACTTGAGCAGCTTGTTCAGAGCCTGAACATCATTTTCTTTGGCAGCTAGAAGGAGAGGAGACTCCCAGATTCTACCAGGAAACAGGACAAGAAAGGAGATGATAGAACACATGCCCAGCTGTAGAATACTTATTGATGAAGGCTTCACTTTGATATACACATACATATGTATATATATTGACAGCAATCAACGGAAAGTCCCTGACCCAGGCAGGTGCGTCCGTTGCAGTGCAAAAGTCACCAACTTTCTTCCCTGACTGTTCAGTTCACCTAAACTGACTATTTGTTCAGTTAGCCTTTGTAGGCGAGAGCCCTGACTAGTTTCCTAAACCCCTAGTACTGGGACCACCATGCCGAGTGCCTGCATCTACCATCTGTTCATATCAGACAAGAAGAGCTTTACTCAGGCATACACTCGCCTCGTGACCTACTCACTCCTGCAGTGGTCCCATTTTGGCCTCAGCAAGTGCCCTGAGATTGCCTTTCATAACCTTGTTTTGTAAGTATCAGGGGTGTAAGAAGTTCCTCCCTCATATTTGTGGAGGAAGTCAACATGCAGAGACTAGTAGGTTTTCTCTTATTACATTTTGCCTGCTATTTGACCTTCTGTGTAGAACCTTTTGATTCCAACACTCTCCTCCTCTCTCTGGGTATCTGTAAGGCTCAATTTAAAATCATCAATGGCCTTTGTGAAAAAGCTTATCTTCACTCTCTCCCCCACCCTTTTCCTCACCCTTCCTTCTTAAAGTAGGCCCTGGATCATCAGCATCTTGCACATATTCTTAAAATGTGTCAACTCTGACTACCCTTAGACCTGGAATAGCTGCAGTTTAAGAAAACTCCCGGGGTTGGGGATTTAGCTTAGGAGTAGAGCACTTCCTTAGCAAGTGCAAGGCCCTGGCTTCAGTCCTCAGCTGGGGATGGTCCTGGGGGCACATCTCCAAAATGATTATTATGCAAACAATATTTTAGGAGACATTACTCAAGCCAATAGTTACTGAATGTGGTCCCTGCATGTAAAATTGCTGAACTGATAAATCTGAGGAATCTCCATCCCAAAGATCCCATATTAAAACTTAGAAAGAAAAGTTAGCCATCATTCACAGACTCCCATCTATAGGGCTTTAGATGTTACTTTATTTCCACTATCAGAACCTGTGAAGTTATAAATGATTGCCAAAAGGGATAGATGCAGAGAAAATAGAGAATCCAATTCAGAGAATTCATGTATTGAATTTCCTGTGAATCCGAATGATCTCATTTTCCTCTTTCGTTCCTGAGCTCACTCAATTTTGGATTCAGAGGTTCTTTCCCCCGACCCTCAGCCCCTAGTCTTTCCTTATTTGTAATCTGCATTTCATTTGTTTCACGCAAAATTGTATTCCTTGGCTCCCAAAATCACTTCTCTAGTCTTACCTCAACTAAGACACATGGATCTTCCTTTATTGAATTTTTCTTTCAACCTAAAGCAATTTGGTCTTTCTAAAGAAAAAAAATGAAATAATTCTATTAATCTATAGACACCCAATTATAACATACAGAAGGGTACAGACAAGAGCCCCCATGTAGATGGGCTAGCAGTGGTACAAAGCCTGCTCAAAGCGGAGAGTGGGAAGGTAACCCCCAGTCTCCCACATACGCCCACAGAGAGTCACCAGCCCTATCAGCCATCTAAGAGTCTATCTCCACTCAGTCTTTTGTTGCTATACAGTTCAGTGACTCCTATGTTTATTCTCTAGCCCAAGATCAGCAAGACATTCTCCTGGTGTCTGCACTCTGTCTTCCCCAGTCCTCCTCATTGCTGTCAAGATAATCTCCCTAAACGGCAATGCAGTCACAGCTTACCAAGGGCCGATGGGTCTTTCAATGCCCAAGGATAAGGAACACAGAGGTCCTTCACCGTCTTTGTGCAACTATTTACCCATTCTCTGATCCTCCCCCTCACTCCGTATGCCAGGCGTTTCAGTCTCACCATGCGCCTCAGCACCACAGAGCACACCGTTCTCCCTGAGCTTGTACCCACATGGCTGCTTCCTCCTGAATCCACTCCCCCAGCCCGCGATTGTTCATTATGCATTCTGTACTTCTGTGTCCAGGGGAAAAGCCTAGCGTGTGGTGGATGTTCACTGTGTTCTGTAGAATGGATGAATTGAGCAGCTGTGCCAAAAGGCGGTTTGGCTTTACTTACTACCTCTCCTTATTATCTTTATCTGCTAAGCCAACCTTAAGCAAACATATAATCTAAGTGAAAAACAGTATGCTTGGTATGCAAATGTGGCTGCAAACAACACAAGTTCTCTGTGTGTCTCCTTTACCACCTCCATTGTTCCAACCATTTGCCCAAAGCAGTCCTCTATAGATAAAGTCAGCACTACAATGGGAGAAAACAAAGCTCCCTACACAGGCACACACTCAGGGCAGGGGGTGGGGGGGACTCACACCACCTTTCCTAAAACATTTGTCACTCTTTTCTTTGGCCTTATTTTTACTCTAGCATCTTGTACTCTGTGTTGTAAATAGAATATGAGTCTCTTTCTATACTTGAGATTCAAAGAATCCCCTTTTGTACCCAAAACATCTCTGAAACCTGCAAATGTCCTCCACAAACCTCTGTTCTCTATATATCCCATTTCCTTGTGTCTGCCCCTATCCTAATAGGCCTGTCAAGGACCAAGGGTTGTCAGATTTACCAAGTAAAAGTATAAGATGCTCAGTTAAATTTCATTTTTAGATTCACAAGCATTTTAAATAATATTTTTATTTAGTCTTTGAAAACCTCATGCATTTATGCAATGCATTTTGATCATATCCAACCACCACTACCTCCCTTCAACTCTATAAATATGTCCCACACAATAGTTTGGGGACACGCTTGCACTAACAATTTACCATTGTTCATCTGAAATTCAAATTGAGATAGGTGGCCCGTATTTTAACTGCAACGTAGACCACACCCCGGTGAAGAAAAAGCTTATAATCCAAGCCAACAAGGATTGTGAAAAACGGCCTCCTCTGGTTGCAAAGTTCCAGAATCCAGCAAAATGAGAGAGGAGGGGATCAGGAAGGGTATCCTGGCCAGTGTGTTATCACTTGCAGTAACAACACAGGGCCACAAGGTGATAGGAGAGAAAGCCCTAACTCCCTAAGGTGTTCTTGGCAGTTAGGAGACAGACTCCTAATACCTCCTTGGGTTCCACTAAAGAAGTAGAAGGCATAGCAAGGACTCTTGTAGATTCTCCAATAGCAGCTTATCACAGGTAAGAGCACAAATGAGGGACAGACCTAAAGGAAAGAGACAATGCTAAAATCCCACACAGGACACCTACAAAGAGTTATCTTACCCGACATGTTAACTGTGTCAGGGTAGAGAAACCCTGGTTTAGAGGTGCAATTATTCATAATCTATTAAAAAAAGAATTCTTCACATGAAGAGAGGAATTAAAATTTTCCTATACATACAAAATGTTTTCTAGCATCATTAAATATTTAAGGAAGAAACAAGAGTAGAGCCATTTAAGATCCCAATGATTAAATAGCAAAAATAAATTGTAAGGCAAATTTGAAATTAAACAACATGGAAGATACCTTCAGATTATACAATGTTTTGTTTTCCTTGGCAATTAACTATAAAATTAAGCAGTGTAGTTCCACATTATGGAGCCAAACTACAAGCACAAAACCTAACATATTTTGCTAAGGACAAGAATTAGTGTTCTCCTGATCAAGGTCACCACTGGGTCTCCAAATGAGAGTCCTGGGCTCCCCTTCTTCCCGACTTTTTGATCCCCCCAAACCTCTGTTCCTGGTTCTCATGAATGTGTAAATTTGTGTGTGCCTTGCACATGCATCATGTCTTATCATTTGTTCTGGGAAAAAAAGGCAGGATTCACAGAGTTCTAAGGAATGGTCAAATCAGGTTAGAAAGGCCCCAGAAATCAAGTCCGCACTGTTCATGTAACAAATGGAGGCAGGCGCCAGCGCTCTGCAGAGGTATGTTCAAACAAGGTCAGTTAGCCATTTCTCTATCCCTGTACTTTGTTAACCCAGGTTGGAAGTAGGGTACTCTGAGAATACGCCCATATCTCTGCAAACACCCTGGCAGATGAATGTAGCCTTCGGGTGGAACTGAGTAAATGATCATGTGGTTGCAATGCATTGCAATTGGATTCTTCCTGTTAGGGCGGTGTTCAGAGTCCCCGATTCCTGTCATCCTCAAGACCTGCCTTTTTACTGTTATCTTTTTATCACAATAATACCATTTGTTAAAATGTGCTTTTCAGTTTTCAAGAGATCTCACCTAATATCACTTTTACTGTCTACACCCATCTCACATGGGCTGAAAAATTCTTTTCTTTTAAGAAAAGGAAACTGAGGCAGCATGATCAAATGATTGCCAAAAGATCACGTGGGGTTAAAAGGCAGACTGCTTACCAAGAACACAGCCCCAGGCACTTACCACTAAATTATGTGGTTCTTCTAGTTTTTTTGGCTCCTCCTGATTTTTCTTGGGAGGTAGGGGGCAGGCCCAGAGCAATGACCACAGATGGGAAAATGCAGTCATGTGTGGGGAGATGGCATACACTGGACTTTCTCAGGCCACCTCCCTCCAGCTAAGATTCCTGGCCATGAGACGAGGAAGTCAAAATCTGGAGAAAGTAGCTATTTTGAGACTTGGAATCAAGATGCTTTTTTTAAACTGCCACAGCTCCTTTAGACAGGTAAGTAAACAGGCATGTTATGTGTGTATGTGCTTATCAGAGCAAGAACACAGTCTGCAGGAGAGTCCCAGAGCTTATCTTGTACATTTCAATTCACATATATTTGTATAGGTATCTATGTAACTCCACTCAAAGCTCCAGCATGACTGCCTGTCCTCCTAAGGAGAGAAAGTGCCGGCATGGGAGGGGTGGGGAGTCAGGTTGGACAGCCTCCTGAAGCTCTCAGCACAGCCCATGCTAGCAGAAATCAGATACCAGAAGGGATGCTTCCTCCCCTTCTACCTTAACACTTGTTTGTGCCCGTCTCCTGAACTTCACCACGCTTACCTTTAGCCTAACTAAGTGCACTTATATTTCCAGTATATGTGAAAGATTGGATCCAGGAGACACCCCCTCACATACAAAAATGTATACATGCTCAAGTCCCTTCTACATGGTGGTATGATGTTTGCATTCAATTTATATGCTTAACTAGTACACTTTAAGATAGGTCTGTACTCTGTGGCTCATGCTGTCCTGGAGCTCACTGTGTAGCCCAGGTTGACCTCAGATTTGTGGCAATCCTCCTGCCTCAGCCTTTGTACTGGGATTACATGTGAGTCACAATGTCCAGCTTATTTATTAACTTTTTTGGTTTTTTGGAGAAAAGCTTTCATCGTGCAGTCCAGGCTGGCCTTGAATTTACTACCCTCTTGCCTCAGCCTCCCCACTACTTGATAGCAGGCATGTACCACCACCCTCCCTTCCTGTGCCCTTTAAATCACCTCTAGATAAATTGAAATACATACTGCTATGTAAATGCTATGTAAATTGCTGGTATACTGTATGTTTAGGAACAGTGGCATGGGGGAAAAGGCTGTTCAGTATAGATGCAATCACTATGGATATATAGTATATATCAGCAACACTATGACTTTGTTGCTTTGGTATTTTCTCTCGGGGTTGGTTCAGTCTGCAGATGAGGAGGGCCAACTGTGCATATACATCGGTGCATTTGGCGCATGAGAACGTGAGCTCCTTGAGAAGCAAGAAATGCATCAAATTAATTTCCTACAAACTTACTGGAGTATGTTACCCTCCATCAATGTTTAATGCAGTGGATAACAGGAAATAAAATTCAAGTCAGAAAGAGAGGTGATTTAGGGGCTGGAGAGATGGCTCAATGGTTAAGAGCACTGACTGTTCTTGCAGAGGACCCGGGTTCGATTCCCAGCACCCACATGGCAGATAAGAACCATCTGTAATGCCAGTTCCAGTAGATCCAATGCCCATTTCTGACTTCCAAAGGCATTTCATAACATGGGTGCACTTACATACATGCAGGCAATATACTCGTATACATAAAATAAAAATAATAAATAAATTTAAAGAAAGTTAATTTGAAAGAACTGGGAGAAGGCTAAAAGTTCAGCTTATATGCATTTCAACTGGGGAGCTGCATGCTTAAGGGAAGTCTACCATAGAGAGGAAGGTTGGCTCATCTCTGGCCATCTTGCAGGGTCCTTAAAGCTGCCCCTTCTCATTGGAACATCCTGTACTGATGGAATTCCATCTGATCCTACCTCAAAACTCCTCTCTAGGGCCCTCTCTTGAGTGCCAGGCTTAATTCATTCCTACAGAGACCTACTTGTGTTTAGCTTTATACCACACAAACTAGATGATGGTCACTGTAGAGGATGAGATTCTGAATACATGGTTCATGTCTCTCATCACTTCACTCCACCTGCTCTTAGTGCTTATTGAAGTGGCCAGCCCCAGCTTATCTAATGGCCAGCATGCCTTCCCTTTGTGTAGCTGACAGCACAGACCAGTTCCTTCTGGAAAGTACCCATCCAAAGAGGGCCATTGCCGTGGACACTAATGTCTAGGAAGAAGAGGGTAAGAGACTGTGGACACAGGGAGATTGGAAATGGAGCGGTGATCCCTCTGACTGGTCCTTTCTGCCCGGCCTTCGGAGGAGGCCCACTGACGGTGGGAAGAAGAAATGGGAACAGACAACACGAGTGCGAGTAGCATATTCCTAGCCAGGCTGTCTGCTCAGGCCCAAGTCCCTCACTGTGTCCTGTCTGTATGGGGACATAGAAACCTCAACTACCCCTTTCACAAGTCCTGGATGTTTCTTCACTCCATGCCTGATGCCCCCACTCACAGGATCCCAAGAGTGGGAAGAAGAGAAGTGGAACCAAGGAGCAGTTAGTCTCTAACAACAATGCCATTCTGTTGCCCCGAGACGTCATCAGCCAGACATGTACCCAGGCCCCAACTCTCCCAGGCCTGGGGGAAAGAGAGGTGGGTGGCTGATGTGAAAGACAAGAAAGCCACAGCTCCAAGAAGGGGCACATCCCCAGTAAGGAATGCTTACGCCAAAGAAGAGGGAATCCCGGGCAACCTTTAGGCCAGGTTAAGACAGGCTGCTGTATTCAGAGATGGAGAAAAGCCCCAAGACAAAAACTTCTGCCTTTCCTCTATGAACAGACATTCTCCCTGTCTACTTAAGGGTCCAGGGAAAGCCCCAAAGGTAACACTTCCTTCTAGCATGTCGCTGTCTGAGTGGAGAACCGAACTGGCAGTCTCAGAGAGGCGACCACACAGAGTGGCCCCAAGATCCAATGGATGTCCAACTCTAAGATGCCATGTGGGGCAGGAGTGAGTATCAAATGAGTTTGGGGAGCGTTTTAAGGAAGGGAAACAAAATGCAAGATTTCCTCAAGGCTCAAACTCCAGATTCTCTCTAGCCCCCCTAGCATGAAAGGCCCTGTGACGAGCACCGGTCTTCAGCACCTCTGGCATTTGGCCTAGGAAACCATGAAAATCCCTCAATAAAGAAAAAGACACTTCAGCTTGGGTCTTCAGACCCCTTCAGTGCCTGGAATAGAACATGGCCTTGACCAGAATTTGACTAAGATAAATGGCGTAGGAATGATGTCTTCACATTTTGTTGTATCTTGTGATTGCTGTATTTACTCAAGCATTTTATCATTTGTTCCTACATGGATGTACACACACACACATATATATGCGTGTGTGTGTGTGTGTGTGTGTGTGTGTGTGTGTGTGTGTGTGTGAGTTTCTGCCACAGGCTGGGTGGGTCATGGAGTGCAGATACTTAAGACACTGTCCTGACCAACAAGCACCTTTTGAATAGAGGAGAAAAAAGGGCCAGTGAGGTGCCTGGATCTTAGGGAGGGACTCCCAAGAGGCCTGCAAAATTGAATGGGACCTTCAAGATAACTAACACATGTGCCCTGGCAACCTCCCACCTGACATCCTGGACAGCTAGTCCTACAGGCCAAGACTTGAGAGAAAGTGCTAGGAAGAGCCAGTCCATGACCAGAAGGACAGACTGTCCAGCCAGGGTTACCAAGAGAAGACTGGGGCAAGCAGGGAGGGGTGCGGCCCAAACCCACTGCTGGGGACACGAAGAAGCAGATGCTGAGCTTACCTCCTCTGCTGCAGCAGGTGCTGATGGTCTCGGCTCTGAGCCCAGGACTCTCGTCTATGAAACCATCTGCAGAACTTGTTCCAGAGGCAGAATATTAATCCTTTCTCCTTGGGCAGTGACCACCCCATAGAGTGGAGGGCCGGCTCCTTGGAGAGCTGAGGCTGACGCCAGAACCCAACTGGGCTCGGCCTTGGGGCCACATTGGCACCCCCAAGAGCCGGCCTGCCTTCTCTCCGTAGAGGTCCCGTCTCCTGTCTCGGGACTCCTACTTCTCCTGGGAGGCTGGGAGGCTGGGAAGCTTTGTGAGACTGCCTTAGCAGTCTGAAGAGGGCTTCTGCTTTGTTCCACTTGGCAGAGCTGGTAGTTTGCTGGGCTTGTCTATCAGGAGCTCCTGTTGGGAGTGAGCAGGAGCTGTGTGG